TGTATCAGCCGGGTGTGATGGCGCACACCTGTAATCCCAGCACTCGGGAGGCTCAGGCAGGAGGATCATTGCAAGTTCGAGACCAGCCTGGGCTACAAAGTGAGCTCAAGGACAGCCTGAACTGCATAGCAAGACTCTGCCTCAAAGAGACAAAAAACAAAGGTGTATCCATTATTTACAAATTGTCTTTAGGTTTTTACTCAAGTTTCTGAAGGCCTCTATCTATGTATCTATGTATCTATCTGTCTATCCATCATCTATCTATGTATCTATCTAATTATTTGTTCTTTTGTACAAAAATTTTGGCTGGCTATGGGTGATGGTACACACCTGTAATCGCAACACTCTGAGAGGGTGAGAAAGGAGTATCACAAGTTCTAGCCTAGCCTGAATAATTTAGCAGCTTAGTGGGACCTGTCTCAAAATAAAAAGGTAAAAAGATGTTGAAATGCAGCTCAGTGCAAAAGCCCACGATTCAGTCTGTCTTTTGAAAACATCTGGCTATCAAATAAAAGCCAAACTCAAAAGGTTGCAATACTGCACATACGGATCATTTATTAGTATTCAGAAGCAACCAGCCTTTATAAATGCAAGTTAAGTAGTAGATAACTCTCTCGCCAGCTTGCTAATTTATTTCATATTTTGATTATGATTTAGCAAGATTAATGTAGGTTATTAGAACACAAAGCCTTACATTTGTACACTTTGCAAAACATTATTTCCATATTTACATATATTGCCTAAACTCTTATCGTTTCTAATGGTTTTTTTATTATTTTTTTATTCTCTTTAATGGTATGATCAATCTTGCATTCTTACATCTGGTAGTCTTAGCAACTTTGCCAAAGATAGCAATATCTTCTATAACAACCACTGTTAATTCCTATCATTTTGTTTTGAAACACTGTATCATTTTTATTGTTTTTCTTTGCTCTCTTTTTGTCTACGTTTTTGTTATTTTGTTTTTTGTTTTTTTTTTTTTATTCTGTTTAAAATTACATACATTGCCCACCTG